CACACACACACACACACATTATTTCGTCACCTTGTGAGCGTCTTATTTATATTCCAGAAAAACATATATCTAGTAAATGCTAGGGCATTCACGAAGGAACAGGATACTTCTAGAAAATAGGTCACGTGACCTCGCTGACGCAACAGTAATATACTACACTTTTTTATACAGAGTAATGCAGATTCCTACGATGTAATATCTTACTTCTTTGAATTTGAGTCGTACAACACATTCTACAGTTACAAAATATATTAAATGTTCAAGAGGTTTTCGCTAATATGGAGTCGATTGATCGCTGTTTGATGTTGAAATTCCTTCCAAATTTAAATTAAAACCCAAAAAAGCACTTTCTAAAATTTAGTTATTCACACCACACGGCATAAAAACGTCAACACTTAAAAGTTTGTTAGGCTGTTGTTGTTGTTTTCAGCGCCAAGCTACACAACGAACTATCTGCGCTCTATCCACCACGAGAAATCAAACCGCTGATTTCTTTGTTATAAGCTCGTGTTTTCACCACTGACCCAACGCAGAACTAGTTCGTTTGGAAGAGGTTAATTAGCGTTTTTCAACTCTATATTGTATGCTTTGCTGACCACTAAAAGGATTTGAGAATTAACTTTAATGATCTTATAGGTATTAGCACACCATCTAGTTGCCGTAAAAATCATAATGATCAGTACAAATCTACTCCAACCTAATAGCCAACGTGAATATTTTCATTCCACAAAAGATGCCTGTGTTTTTTTATTTTAAAACGTTTTCCATATTCTCAATTGTTACATATTTAAAGCAATAAAATTTATATGATAAGTCCTCAATTTTCAGGAGAAAAGTGTGAGCAGTTATTAAATATAGCTGTCATGATAACGAGACAGCGTAGTAATAGTTTTATACATATTATGAATTTGAACGTGGAGCATTCAAAAACAAATACAGTTAGGAAAATTATGATAAAAATATGCTCTAGATAGTCCATTCAAAGGATAAAAAAGATATTATTTAAATAAAAAATCATTTTTGTGGGAGCTCTTCTATTATAAAACACAAATAACAATAACATTTCTTCACTTCCAAAAGGACTGAGAAATATTTGTAGATACTATAGAAACATTGGCTGCTTTAGTTGAAAATGCCCCTCTTCCCTGGTGTCTCAGCATTAAACGTGCAGGCTTACAATGCTAAAACTCGGGATTCGATACCATTGATGGGCACAGCGTATATAGCCCAAACTTACTTGAAAAGAATAAGAACAGCTTTGACCGATATTACTAAAATACATCAAACCACTGTAGATGTATATTAATCATCACAAACATTTCATTTGCGGAATTTTAGTAAAAGATATTTTTGTTCTTTAAATATTTTTCTCGGATTACAAGATACAAATCCTCACCCCCCCCCCCCTTCGATTATTTTTTCCTGGCTACTGCATTGAGTAGAGTAGAGTATAAATTTACTGAAATAAAGTAAAACATAAGGAACCATGTTGAACAAAAAAATTTTGATACATCAACGTATGTGAGCGTTATGTCTTATATACTAGAGGTTTTTAACGAATTGAGACCTTAAGGATCGTTCTCTGAATCGTTTAAGCTAAAGATAATTAAACTTTGGTTTTCTATTAACCTTAATGAACTTTATGAAGAACAACACACTTTAAAAATAAAAATTATTTTCATTAAAATAATTCTGGACTTTTTTCAGAAAAAGTTTATTTGTTGAGCTTTTATTCTACCAAAAAAATATATTATATTGCTGTTGCACGGTCACTTTAGTATATACCTGCCTGTAATAAAGCCACAAACATTAGGTTAGGTATTGAACGTTCAAAAAATACATCAATAGAAAACTTATATCCAAAAAAAGAGAACAATTTGGGCTTTGATTACTATGATATTAATGATTATCTAATCAAAGTCTATTTGTGAAGGCCTTAATGATTCTAGTTGACCTATTGTATATCCGAGTATTCTCCCATATATGTAGACTAAATTTTGAAAACTATCTATAGAATTAAAAAGGTAGATAAATGCTGGGCTTTATAAGTAATGCTATTGCTGTTTTGACCTTTCTTTTTTCCCGTAGCACGTAAACTTTTCATACTATATTATGGTTCCCCTATTACATCACCGACCTCATCGTTCAGTTCAACCCTCATTTTCGGCAATAAGACGATAAAATTGAAATTTCTGCCAAACTCAAACCGTTCGTTAAATTGTTTATTAATTTAAACTCGATACTTGGGGGGTCATCTGAGTTCCTCTGGCTGATATATATATCTGAATATCCTATGACAGTTTAAGCCTTCTTTAAGATAAGTTCAAGAATAATCTTCTTAATAGCTATCATTTCTCACATAATCCTTTTTTACCCGTACTTTTTTCAATTTTGTAAAATCTAAACAAATTAAAATATAAACGAAAAGTAGTTCGTGATGTTAGAAAAACACGTGGGTTCAAGAAGTCTTGATAGAAATGAATAAAAAACCTATAGCCCGAGTGCTTTCGAAAGGTGAAAGTGCTATAAACTATAACGCCTAAAATTAGCTAGAATGATGTCTGTTTAATATCCAATCTCTAATTAATCTCTGACAGTTCAAATTAAACAGAAATACTCAAACTCAAAAAGAGTATTTTAGTGAAACTGACATTACCTAAAAATTGAAATAAAATACCAGTTTTCATAATATTCTGCAACTTTTAGATAATATTGATTTGATGTTGTTTCAAAATATAATGTTTGTTCTTCTTGAAAATTTCTAAAAATTACAGGAATTCTACGATACATCATTTAGGTTTCTTACTCGACATCATAAATGAACATTTAACCCGTCAACTACGGTCGTGATAACGTGGTGTAGACAGTGGA